TAAAACCCACTTCAATGTCAATGTTGTCTGAATGATGCCTACCTGTTGAAACTTTCTGTGTTAGCTATTAATCAACCTCGAGGACGATGTTTTCAATATTTATTTTACTACCCTATCTACCAAATAAAATAATCAATCAGAAGGTGTTTATTTACATTTGATAGATATCGTGTGTAAACGTATGAAAAAAAATGTGGCATTACGAACGTTGTGTTCCTTCATTTACTTTTTGTTGTTTTTCCGTCAAATTCTTACTGCTACTAGTATCAGTATCATGATCCTCATCATCTTTTCCTCGCAGTCCACCGCAGGGCATACCTATGCCTCTCCTTATAAAGGACGTATAAGTATATAATTGTGATATTAAACTTTTACCGTATAACACATAACTTACATAATATATACATTGTTATAACTACATTACTTTTACTTATTATATAACTCTTTTATTATTTTAAAATACAGTAAGCCTTATGTGTGCATATATACGATTTAAACAAAAGTTTTAATCCGGACTACAGTTTTTTTTTTAATCTAGGTGTAGTTACTCATAAATAAAACAAAACGAAGTCATTTTCAAGTCCGTCCGGCAATAGTATCTAACCAATTTGTCTCGATCTTTATTTCTTTTTAAAAGAAAGGTTTATGCACTGTCCTTTTATCAGGCATTTGACACCACCTTACCTTTAGAGATCTCAAGTTACTATCAAACGTGACCTCCTCCTCTATATTTCTTATGTAAGAGGGGGCAGACGAACAAAAGAAGAAAGACTAAAAGAACACGACGGGTCACCTTCCGTTTAGTAAGGAGTACTCTCTGTTCTTTAAGGTTTGAAGGTCGTATCGGTCCGGAAATACCTTTTTGGGGTTCCGTACCTCAAAAGGTAAAAAAGGAACCCTTATAAGATCACTTTCTTCTCCGTCTGTCCGTGTGTCACCTACGATTTTCTCAGTTTCAAGTTGAAATTTATATCAGATACTGAGGTCTATGGTCCCTATTAGGAGTATAAAAATCAAGGTCCTGAGTCAACACGATAAAAAGATATGGGCAAATTTAGATTTTCGCGAAAACTTGAGTACCAAAATTTACCCTAATTTTCAACTTTTTTGTATTTTTCAGAATTTTCTCTTTACTTGTGCTGTAAGACGTTGCTTTTAACCAAAATTGACAATTCTAGATCAACTGAAAGTACCCTATAGGTTTTGGGTCGAAATCCTTAATGATAGTTCCCGTTTCAATCACGAAATTTGGCAAAAAGAAACGTCTTACAGCACAAATAAAGGAATAATTCCAAAAAATAAAAAAGTTGAAAATTAAGATAAATTTTGGTACTTACAAATTTTCGCAAAAATCTACGTAAAATCTGGGTAGGTACGGAACCCTCGGCGCACGAGTTCGACTCGTACCTGACCGGTATTTTTTTTTTGGTATTTTGCAAAGCAGCCGTGCCCGGAAAGGACTTGCGTCAGCCGGAAGAAAAGGGTCCCGTGCTGCCGCCCTGCCCACTCAACGAGGGCCTCCACGGCGGCAAAGCCAGCTCGTGGATCCTCAAGCCGGGACGACCAGCGAGCCATCGTTGTTTGGCGAGCGGCCTCACGCCACTCGCGTATCTCTTCGGGCGGGGGCCGAATAACCGCCCGGAACTCAGCCGTCCGCCGATATAGTTCGGGGAGCACTTCCGCCTCGAGATCCCACGGGGGTGTTCCGGCCAACGCGCACGCAGCCTCCGTTGACACGGTGCGGTAACCGCGTATGGCTCTAACCGCCAATATCCTCTCGAGAATCTAGCCCAGATACTTCATCTGGGCGTGAACCGGTACGAGGACCGAACTGACCACGATGGAGGTGCCAGAGGGCTGACCACGGCGGGGTGTTCAGAAATACCTACCGCAGACGATAACTTGTTCCACAGATTAGTTGTGCGAGGCAAAAAGTGCCTTGAAAAGTGCATAGTGGTGGAGCCCCAATTATCCAACTGACTGGCATGAATTTTTTTCCGTGTGGTACGATGGCGGAAAGCTATAAGCGTTAGCTTTCTTAGTTTTATACTAAGAACACTAGCTACACCGATCTTTATTTGAACTTCAGCACACTTAAATTGATTAAGTTAAATGCATCCTAACAACTGGGAAACATTACACTTAAACTAAATGCTGCAGAGCAACACGAAGTCTAGTCAAACGATTTCTTTTGTCAACTTATAAGGCTGAGCACATCACTACTTTGAAAAACGAAGAATGATGTTCGTGTTTTTCTGAATAAATTGATTAAGTATACTTAGCACCTTGTTTTGCATAAATTTACGAGTACTACGTCCCCCGTTTAAAGACGTTTTTATGTTTTTCGGGCAAACGTGAAGTCATAGCCTTATATTTGTCAGATAACATTTTAGATATATGGCTATATTATTATCTGTTCTCGATATACCTATGTACATACAGGAGTCACAACATAAAAATAAAAGAGTATCTAAATGATAATAATAAATAAGTGACCTAATATTATATGCAACTATTAATAAAAATCAAAGAGTTCTCTCCCGTAAGACCTAAAAAAGTAAAGTGATTTAAATTTACCTATATGTATCATCATCATCAACAGCTTTTAATAGTCCACTGCTGGACATAGGCCTCTCCTTAGAAAGGAGGTTTAGGCCTACTATACGGACAGGTTGGTACAGGGTTTGTTTCGAGCGGCTCTGACCGCCCAGAATAGGGCACGCCTCTGGCGCCCTCAGAGGGTAATGGCGGTCAGAGCCATACGCGGTTACTGCACCGTTTCGACGGTGGTGGCATGCGCGTTGGCCGGAACTCCCCCGTGGGATTTGGAGGCGGAAGTGCTCGCCGAAGTTTATCGGCGAGTGGCTGACTCCCGGGCGGAGAGCGGATTTCGCCCTCCGCCCGAGGATGTGCGCGAGTGGCGCGAAGCCGCTCGCCGAGCCACGATGGCTCGTTGGTCGTTCCGGCTGGAGACTCCACGCGCTGGCTTCGCCGCCGTGGAGGCTCTCCAGCCGGTCATCGCCGAGTGGGCAGGGCGGCAGCACGGGACCCTTTCCTTCCGGCTGACGCAGGTGCTTTCCGGGCACGGTTGCTTCGGAAAGTACCTGCACTCGGTCGCTAGGAGGGAACTGAGTCCCGCCTGCCACCACTGCGACTACAGTGAGGACTCTGGGCCGGGCCCTCACTGCAGTCATCGGAGTGGATCTCTCGCTACCGGCCGTAGTACGCTCCATGGCCGGTAGCGACAGTTGTTTTACCGCGGTCGCAACCTTCTGCGAGGAAGTAATCTCGCAGAAGGAGGCGGCGGAGAAGGCCCGGGAGGACGACCTCCACTCGGACCCGATCCGCGCGCCTATCACCGCCTCATGCCGCCCTGAATGTGGCCGCGGGTGGACGGGGTGGGTTTCTCCTCCACCCGCATTAGTTTGGCCAGCCTTTTAGCCGCATTAGGTTGTGCCTAAAGAGAGGAAAATTTTGAGACGGGGCCCGCAACAGGAGCGGGCCGGCGCTAGGAGGGGTCGGGATGTCTTAATAACAGCTGTTCCCGGATCCCCCCTGTTACAGGCGCAGAGTGGCACACCGTGTGGTTTTAGTCGGTCCGAGTCCGACACACCACCCCGCCGCAAACCCCGGAGGGGTGACGGTCCGAGGGGATTTCCACACGTTAAAAAAAAAAAAAAAAGGGTTTGTTTCGAGCCTCCTTAACTGTACTGTCACGTTGACGTCGTGTGATCTCTGTGATCTCTGAGGCTAGTGATCTCTGAGGCTATGCCTGTATAGTCATTCATCCCAGATTAGCTCACAGGGAGACTCCAAACTAAGTTGGGCCCTTCTTTGGTCACCAATAGTTGCTTCACTGTCCAAAATGGAGGAACGACGACGGGTTCGGTGAGCACTTACTCTGCCACGGAGTGGGTAATGGGAACTGTGTCTCCTTGCCGTCGTTTCACATCGTAAGACCGGCAGGAGTGTCGTGGTTAGGGATGAGGAGAGCTACACGCCTGGGAGATGCTGCCTCCCAAAGTTGCAAGCAGTCGTAGAGGGACGTCACGAAAGCCCGTCTCGGCCGCGTCAGGCTCCGTCCTTTGTAAGGCAGAAGCCTATAGACGAGTCAGGACGGACGATGAAATCGTAGCAGAAGAGGAGATTGCAGATCTCCTGCTGAAAATCAATCAAAAGGTAAACGGCAGCACCGAGGGCTGAGCCTATAACGGCGGCAAAGGATAGAGCGGAATTCCCTCCGCTCCTCCCCACTCCTACACCTGTAGCTGGCTCTATACAGCTGCCCCCTCAAACGATGGCTGACAGGTTGTCGGGGGGGGGGGGGCTAAGAAGTCCCGAAAGCGGGGTAAAAAGGCTGTCCGAAAGCAGCCTCTGTCCCGCAGTCGTCATCGATGGCAGGGGCCACCAAGAGGAAGCCGCGCAAAAGTAAAGTCGCCTAAGTAAGTTTTATTATTTTTATTTAACACCCACTCGTCGTTTCTAACATTACTACTACAGTACTGAGAAAGAATTTTGTCAAGTGACAACACATCGTTTCATTAATTTTGGCAACAACCGTAAATACGTAATGGCCGGTCATCGCTATTGATATTTTTTTCTCATTGACGTATTTTTATTCGGGATGCTTAATTACACTAGCGTTATGTAACATTTACATATCCAGCCTAGTGGAGAAGTAGAAACAATAACTGTTTTAACAAACTGAAGTTTAAGTTTAGTAGGTAGGGTATTTAATGTTCTAGCTTTAGTATTTCAAGGGACTAAAACTGAAAAAAACAAACACAATGATGCATAAATTACATTGAATTGTGAAAGAATTCATTTAAGTACAAAATATGCTTTGTACAGAGCACAATAGTCCTATTTCACAATACTCTAATTTTTCAAATGTCCAAGTGATTAGCTATTTGAATAAAAAGTGCACCACATTTTTTTATTGAATATTAATTGTCAATTCAAATATACTAAATATAGGATCATTAACTTACTAAATAGGAATGATAAAAGTACATCAACCTAGATTAAAAGAGGTTAACATTGCCAATTACATGAAAAACAGAACGAAGAACTCAAGAAATATTATCGACGAGGTACTGGATGGTGAGATGTCAGAGGGCGCGCTGATTGCGTTATTATCCGACAACACGGGCATGTTTACAGAGAAGAGCCGTTTCAACGACGCCGACTCCTCTGATCTCACCGAACCGCCCGCTATCAAAGTCAGACGACATCAATTAACAGAATCGGGCGGCTTATGTGCCTTTTAAGAATGCCTCCTTTGAGGATGATAGCAAGATAGAATGACTTTGTAAAGCTTGACGAAACAGACTACAGAGAAGGGGTTATATATATTACTTGATGCCAACAATTCTAGGTAGACCCCAAAATAACATTTATGAGAATACGTTTTGGCTTGCTATGCGTGGAGGATATGTGAACGGACTCAACTCGTCGGACACTCGACCGATGTGAGCTCGCTGAATATTATAATTAGTCGAAGCCGCCGTGAGTAATGGCGTCGGAAATAACACGCGGGCGGTGTTGGCGCCAAGCGGAGCGGCCATCGCGAGCACCCGGTGATCGAGGACCGCGCACATGAGCGCAACGCGCGCGCTCCCCCCTGTGCTACCGCGTCGCGTTTGTATCGGTTCTCAATGCGGCGCACGGCGCGCCGACTAGTCTGTTTTGTGACTTTGCTATTTACGTGCTAAAGAATGACGTGACTTTCAAGTGATTTATTTTAAAGATTGTCTTATGGAATCTCCGTGAATCTTGCTCTATTAATTTTAATAATGTTATGGGACTTTTGCGACTTCTTACTTTACATAAAGCTTTTATCTTAGCAAAAGAGATAAACGACCATTATATTATTCGAGAATATGTAAACTAAGTAGGTGTTTAAATGACAATCAACACGATCATTAACTTAACGCTTTATCATGCTTGTGTAACAACTAAATACTAAGCTAATGTTGTCCGTATTCTATGTTCTCATTCGCATGTGATTTTCCGTTATTTAGCTTTGTTACTAAAGTTCTTCTATAAAAAGTCCTTGCATGTTATATCTTCGTACACATTTGTATACTATATGTTGTTGTTTGTTTATACGTACATAAAATCTAGAACTGATCTACACGTATTAGTACATTACCTAACCATAAGCTGCAAATATATAATATGTTGCATCTTTTAAATTTATTATGAACAGAATGCATGGTTGAAATTTGAAATGTTGATAACAATCAAAGTCTGGAGTGAAATAATACAAGTTGGAGGGACCACATTCCATTCATCTGAGTTGTAACCTCAACAAAGCAGTAGAGAGTTTAGATATTTCTGTATGATTACGACTAGCCGGACTGGATACTGAGATCAAAGCAACCATATTAGAAATAGAGGTGCAACGCCACAACAGGCCACATTTAGAGCAATTTCTGGAAGAGGTAAATAAAGGGCAACGCAGTTAATGAGTTCTTTAAAACAAACAAGTTTTAAAAAGCTACGACAATCATTATCCATTATACTGACACCTTTGTTACCTGAATACAATTAAAACAACGGTCCCGGGAAAAAATGATCAGGCCTGATCAGACCTGTTCATGCATGATCAGACCTGAAATTTGACCTGATCAGACCTGTTCATGCCTGATCAGACCTGACGTTAGACATGATCAGACATGATCAGGCCTGATCAGACATGATCAGGTCTGGGCCGTAAAATACGTTCAGATCTGATCAGGCCTGTTCATGCATGATCATGTCTGATCAGGCCTGAATATATTTTACGGCCCAGGTCTGATCATGCCTGATCATGCATGAATAGACATGAGCAGGTCTGATCAGGCCTGATCAGACCTGTTCATGCATGATCAGACCTGGACGTATTTAACACTGCAGGTCTGCTCAGGCATGATCATGCATGAACAGGCCTGACGTGTTAAATACGTTCAGGTCTGATCATGCATGAATAGACATGATCAGGTCTGATTAATAGTTAAATACTTAATTATTATTCCTATATCTTTATATATCGATCGAGCTGGACCAACTGGATCCAACTCGAGTTGAATCAGACCAGACATGTTGATTCGATATATATATATACCTTTTGTTCCATTTCCTAACCAATGCATTTTTTTACTTTCGATTTATTTATATTTTATTAATTATTCTTTCAACTACAACGATAATTTAATACCTTCTAAATTCATGATATAGTCTTGAAATTTACAAAATTACTATTTTATTTTAATAAACATATATATTACATAATTAAAAATTAATAATAAATAACTGGTCATTGTAAATTTCTGTTATAGAAAAGACCTTTGTGTTCTTCCTTCAAGGTTAATATTTTGATTTTCTCTGCTCAAATAATTTTTAAATTTTATAATTTAATTAAAACTTGTGTTTGAAACAATTAAATTTATTAGTGTGTTATTTGCAATGTTTACATAATATACATTTGTGGGTATACTGATCATATGTATATATCACACGCCACAAGTCATCAAGTAAATATATATGGGCACAGCTATGTGTGAGTGTCCTCATGTATAGCACACAACTTTATATGTCACGTGACACACCGGTGTAATTCACTTTCAACATGGATGCCGTCGCATAATAAGAGTATAAATTGTGTGCGTCTTCTACTAGCGTCTGTTTATGTGCAATTGTATGTGATTTATTAATTAATTAAACTTTAAATATTTCACTCTACAAATTTATCTGTGTTGTTTGTGGAGGCATCAAACATGTTTTTAATTCAATGCTATCTATGATGACAATTGCGCCTATATCATCGATAATGATGACAACAAAAAACCTCACGAGCTGGTTAAAGATGATATTACTAAATTCAATATGAAGAAACGACAATATGAAGGAAAAGTGATCGACTTTTCAAGTAAGATATTTAATTATTTTTGTTTATCGACATAAAGGTTATATTATTATTTTTAACATTTATAAAAACTTAAATTTGCTAACATTTGAAAACAATATTTTTTTTAAGTAAATACATTACTCCTGGTGAAATATTCTTTAAATAAATTTCATATTTTTTTAATTACTTTGTGTGAAGTTTTCCAAAATATTTGTTAAATATTAGATTCATTTCTGTCATATATGAATAATTCTCATCTATACTAATATTATAAAGCTGAAGAGTTTGTTTGTTTGTTTGTTTGTTTGTTTGTTTGAACGCGCTAATCTCAGGCACTACTGGTCCGATTTGAAAAATTCTTTCAGTGTTAGATAGCCCATTTATCGAGGAAGGCTATAGGCTATATATCATCACGCTAAGACCAATAGGAGCGGAGCACCAATGAAGAATGTTTCAAAAACGGAGAAAATTTATTACTATTGAGAGACGTAGACGAAGTTGCGCGGGTCAGCTAGTTTGTAATAGTCCATTAAATTTGATGAATAACCATTTATTTTTTTACATACAATAATTAATATTTAATATCTATAGGTAATTCCGATTTTTTACAAAATCGAAGGCAAGATTTCAATAAAACAATCAAACAAAAAAAGAAAGTAACAGCTGGTGTTAATCGTTCGAAACGAAATCGATGCCAAAGAGAAGCTGGAGTCCAGAAAATTCACCACCTCCGAAAAAACTAAAGATTTCAAAGAATGTAAGTTGACTTTATGATTAAAATAAAATTAAACCTAAATATTTTATTATTATATTTTATTTGATTATGATTCAGCGAACGTACGTATAATTTATGTGTAAATATTGATGAAATTTCATTAATGAATACTGAGTTCATGTTCATTTATGTACCGTCATTCAGAAATATGATTTAAAATGATAACCTCCATGTTAAATGTATATCTATAAAGTACTCAAATTAGATGCTTTTAAATTAATTCAAATTGTTTTAAATCGATTCAAATTAGATTTCTTAATCAGGGTATTTAAGTGATAGTAAAAAAATAATGCTATTTTTAATAAATACTACCATTTATTTTTAAATAAATAAATTTTTTAGATGAAAAACATAGGAAATAATGTTTACTGCCGAAAAATAATTTATGATTCAGCGCTAGAAGCTTCTCATAAATCAACGCATTTGGCAAGAAGGTTGTTAGAAGGAGTCTTTAACCACGACGCCATGATGGGATGCACATTGACAGGGCAGGCTCCAAGGACTAAAGATAAAAAATCAGCTGTTGTAAATCCATTAGATCAACAGGCGAAAGGCGCGATCGTTGGTGAGTTTTTTTTCTTAATTACTAATCCTAATAGGTAACATTGTGTCAAATTGACTCTAACGTTTTTTTTTAAATCTCTGGTTTAAGAACTTCATTTGAAAGCCTCATTTAAAGCCGTAATCTATCAATAATTTGACTGCTCAATTTTACTTGCATGCCAGAGAATAATTTTACAATAATTAGCATTTAATTGTTTAATTTGGAGCGTAATTCTTTGGGTTTGGAATCAAATTGACCCCATGTGACCGTAAATATGGATTATTATCGAGGTGTGATGTGACTCATTATGAACGAACTTTGCAGAGTTTGCGATGCATACAGCCGTTGAGAGGAAGTGGCCGATTCAAAGTCGACAAATCATTTTAAAGGAAATGAGCCAAAGATCACGGAATATAAACGCGACAACATGAAGAAGGAAAAAACTGAAACGAGTCCAAAAAGCTAAAAAATTCAATACAGTTTCACATTATACTTTTAATAATTTTAAGTTAATATTAACGTTAAGAAAGTCAACCAAAGAGTTACTTCCATATATCTAATAAAAAAATAAAAGGTGATAATTACCAATTAATCATATCCATAAATACTATAATATTTTGTTTCGGATTTTATAAATATTTTTCAGAAAATATTTAATATTCTACGGTTTGTTAAAACTTATAATATAATTATCGGATAATAAAATTTCATTACTTGAACCATATATTATGATTTTATTTCAAACCTGGAAAGGATAATTAGATTAATTAGTTCTGCATGATCTAATCATACAGATCTAATAATTTTTTTAGGCACTTTGATCAACAGAGATTTTTTCAGGAATGAGTCTCAGGCTTAAAATTAACAAAGCTACTCGACGGTGAATCAGATCTGATCAGGCATGAGTCATCAGCCCTGATCAGGCATGAACAGGCATGAGTCGTCAGGCCTGATCAGACCTGAAAAATGACCGGGCCTGATCAGACCTGATCCGGCCGGATCAGGTCTGATCAGGCCTGACGACTCATGCCTGATCCGGCCGGATCAGGTCTGATCAGGC